ACTTGACTGTGTTTTTGAGTCTCAAATGATCATAATTAAATCAATGATAGATTCTCAGGTATTTTATGGATGATTCGTTGGTATTTTTTTGAAAAATATCAGATTCTACCAGAACCATTGATAATCGTTGACGAAAATATTCCTGGATGACTTTTAAGAGTAAAGTCATTTATTTTGTAATATAATATTTGAAGTTTTGAATTTAAAAGAAATAATATAAAAAAAGAGTGATAAGATATATGATGTTATTTAAGTTTGGTGGGGTTGAATATATAATTATTTACACTTAGAAAACACAGAAATAGCTCCAAAAAAGCACAAGTTGAAGTGAAACGTATCCTAGAATTCAACCAATACCATCTCCTTGTATTTACTCTTTTCATGCCTCAATCAATTAACTGACCTAACTGCCTTTCATATTCCTTCCCAATTTTACCCTTTTCCTAAAGGGTATCCTTTCCCCCCCTCTCTCTCTCTCTCTCTCTCTCTCTCTCTCTCTCTCTCTCTCTCTCTCTCCTCTTTTTCCTCTTTTTATATATATATATATATATATATATGACTACATTTCTCGGATTTTGTGCTCGTCTCGTTGCGTAAAAAGAAAGACAAATTTGTATGCGAAAACGAGCTTTAGAAGTAAACTTAATCAACTGAAACCGCAAAAATTGAAATGAGTTTGTTAGGTTAAGGAAATGGTATCACAATATGTATCGTAATAGTAAATATGAAAAATATACGAAATAATTCAATGCTTTTTTTAGAAGGTACCTGCTTACTGACAAGGTAGATGCCATCCACTGAGGCTCTCTACTATATCAGTCCCACGATTATCATCATAGGACAGGTAATCAACATATACATAATGCATCACATAGATAGAACTGCGGTATCCAGTCTCGAAATGGAGACCTCACCACTTGTTATTATTATTATTATTATGCTTCTTTTTAAACACACGGAAAATGAAATCGTTATTCTTGGTTTTTACTAAAATAAGAAACGGTAATATTACTCGAAAAAATAGTATTTTAATAATATTTGAAAGGAGAACAAATAACATTCCTCTTTTTTTTTCTTTTTTTTATTAACCTGAATATTCAATCCACTATGCGAGCCGACTAATTTCAAGGCGACCACCTGTTTTGCAGATAGCCCGGAGTCACCGCATTTGAACTTCTGTGGCCACAAGGGGGATTTTTGTTCCTCCTTAGATTTGAACCTGTGACCTCTTGACACTTTTGACCTCTTGACCTCTTGACACTTTTGACCTGCTCAAACCAATCAAACACCACACTTATGGTTAACATTGTGGTTAACATTCCTCTTTTTTATGAGATTTTGAACATATATAAGCACCAGGTTTAAAATATTAGCTAATAAATAACAAAATATCCCTTTTTACATAAAAAAAAATGAATATTGAGAAAAAGAAATATGGAAATTCCAATTTTGGTTTGGGAACAAAGTGGCCAACCAATTGATAGTGAAGTTGGTTTGTTGAGGTCAAGTGTAGTGTCATGAGCTTTTTTACTTTAATCTTTTTTAAAGGTGTATGGGATTCATAAATGATTTTTGTGTTTTACTATGAATAGTATTCTTTGCATTTCTTTCTTTAAATTGTTTGCCTTTAAATGTAAATGCTACTCTTTTTTTCATTAATTCTCATCTACTTGCTTCATAGGGTCCATATCTTCACCAATTTGCCTCTTGGCATCCTTTGATTCCTTACATTTAACCTTCTCAATGTTATACATACATATATATACATATACATACATATATATATATATATGTGTATATATATATGTATATATATATATATATCAGTACTACAAATGATAGTATCTTAAAAAGTCATATTGTAAAACAACACTTTATTTTCATATGTATTGTTGGAGTCTTTTATAGGACTCTTTTTTTTGGGGGGGGGGGGGGTCACAAATTCTTACCTGGTATAAGAGTCAAAGTCTACCATTCTAAGAAATCGACACACTCAGGGTCGATCCTCACTCGTCTAACCTCCTCTCGACACTTTAAAATAACTTGTATTGATTTTAACAATACAACAAATTTGGTTTTAGGATGCCCATATTGTATAAGTGTCCTATTAGAATGCTTAATAGAATTTAGGTTTATACGATCGAATTATAAATTATCCTACTTAAAAGCGTTACAATGAGTTTATAGAACGCTTTTAGACGTTTTAACAAGCTTTTTGGAACGCTTTTATATTAAAATGTCGTATAAAATAGCTAATAAGATATTTGGGTTTATAGGACACTTTTTCAAATAGCTAATACGGCGTTGATTGTTGTCAAGTCGCTAACATAAGCTAATTTCCTCTTCATATCGTTTTTAGCTTTTATTAGAATACTTAATAGAACTTAGGTTTATAGGACACTTATAAACCAATCTTTTTATAACACACTTATGTTTATACGATATTTTTTCAAATAGTGTCGTATAAAATTAGTTAATACGACACTCTATTTTCAAAGTATCCTAAAAACTTGTTAAAATACCTGAAAGCATCCTATAAACTTATTACAACACTTTTATATGAGACGCTCTATAGTTTAGTCCGATAATTTGAAGTCCTATAAATCATGTTTTTTGAACGATTCTACATTTTAGACGTCCAATAAAATCAAATTTCTTGTAGCATAACCTCGTTTGAGGGGTTGTATTAAAGTCACACGTATGTTAAATCGACTCATTTCTCTTCAATGCATACATGTTGCAACCTCTCATCCTCAAAAACCCTTTAAAGAACAATCTAATAAGGTCTTATGGTATTCTTATATATATATATATATATATATATATATATATATATATATGGCCAAGATCAAATGTTAATTATCATTTTTGTGTTAACCTTATTAACTGATTTTGGTCATCCAAATCTATAATCAATGGTTAAGATTAATCAATAAAAAAAGTTAAATTTTAAAGTTTGAATTTTAATGGGGCCTAGTGAACAATGATGAAAGGGGCATTTTGGGAAGAAAAATACACTTATCAAGGGTATTCTAGTAAATTGAATTCATTTGTAACCCCCAAACAATTAATGGGAAGTTACAAACAATCAAATCCCAAAAAATATGCATTCATATTATTATTATTATTATTATTATTATTATTATTATTATTATTATTA